ACACTGGGGGACACTGGGAGACAGCATGGGGCACTGGGGAACAGCACAAGGAGAGTGGGGGACAGCGTAGGAACACTGGAGGACACCATGGGGACACTGGGGGACAGCATGGGACACTGGGAGACAGCACAAGGAGAGCGGGGGACAGCATGGGACACTGGGGGACAGTGTGGGATGGATGGGGAAAGTTTAAGGACAGTGGGGAGGCCAGCCTGGGATGGAGAGGGGCAGTGTGGGACACTGAGGGGACAACCTGGGACACGGGGGAACAGCCTGGGATGGGTTGGGGGACACAGCATGAGGACCATGGGGTACAGATGGGAAAGTGGGGTGCAGCTGGGGGACAGCAGGTTACAGTGTGGGGACGGGGGGGACAGGACAGCCTGGGGTGTAGGAGATGGGCTGGGGCAGGGGGCACGGCAGGGACACTGGGGTACTGTTGGGGGATAGTGGGGGACAGCCTGGGGACATGGGGTACCCCCTGGGATAGCGGGGGACAGCTTGGGGACATGGGGACAGCAGGGTCCAGCCTGAGACATGGGGTCCAGTTAGGGACACGGGGTGCAGCTGGGGACGGGGTGGCGTCCAGCCTGGAGACACTGAGGTCCAGCCCTGGGGTACGTCCTGGGGACCCTGGGGACTGGCTTGAGGACACTGGGGAACAACCTAGGGACCCTGGGGACACCAGGGCATCTCTTGGGGATCCTGGGTCACATCCTGGGGACCCTGGGGCACATTCTGGCAACACTGGGGACACCTCCTGGGGCCACCGCAGCACATCCCAAGGTCCCTGAGGACACCAGGGCACATCCCAGGGATACTGGGTCACATCCCAGGGATACTGGGTCACCTCCTGGAGACCCTGGGGCACCTCCTGACCACCTTGGGGAACCTCCTGGGGACACCAGGACACTTCCCAGGGACCCTGGGGCACCTCCGGAGACCCTGGGGTGCAGCCTGGGGACACCTGGGCACTCCTGGGGACCCTGGGGTACCTCCTGGGGACACTGAGACACATCCCAGGCACCCTTGGGCACCTCTGGGGAACCCAGGGGTGCAGCCTGGGGACACCAGAGCCCCCCCC